GTGTGTGTGTGTGTGTGTGTGTGTGTGTGTGTGTGTGTGTGTGTGTGTGTGTGTGTAAATTTATGCATTCAAAGCAGTAAAACGAATAGATTGATTTCTGAAGGGTGATTGATAATGACATTCTTGTACTTTGGTCAAAACTAGTCAAACCACAAAAAAGATCACTAAATATTAATTCATCGTGTTTTGAAAGTGATACTGTTCTGACAGTGCTCACTGTTTTAACTGTTTGCCTTAAGTATGTGAAAGGGTTCTCTAAGAAAATAACATGCCACATTGGTGCATAAATCATAAGCTATCATAAGACTTTTATGATATTTTTATTGTTGGTTTCAACAGTAACCTTAGAAAACTTACTGGTTTACATATTTCCCTGGTGGGGTTAATATTTTACAACAAACATTAACTTTAAAAGTGGGAGCATAGGTGGCTTACTTGGACCTTGTTCTCTGGTGAAGTGTTTGCCAATTTATGTGTTCTTTCATTTCAGCAAATAAAATGAGCCGTGTTTTTATTGGCCGCTTGAGCCCACATGCAAGAGAAAGAGATGTGGAGAAGTTTTTCAAGGGATATGGACGGATTCGAGAGATCAACTTGAAGAATGGGTTTGGATTTGTGGTTAGTACAAAAACCCTTCAGTTAAATTTTGAGTGTAGACCACACACTCTTTTTATGATTTTATATATTTTTTATTTTCCTTTTCTTTCAGGAATTTGATGACCACAGAGATGCAGATGATGCTGTGTATGAGCTGAATGGGAAGGAATTGTGCAGTGAAAGGTACACATCTTTGAGTGTAATTTTTTTATGTATTTGTGCATTATAAATTATTTTTTTTAGAACTTTCACCATTACAGGGCATTCATAAGGACTTTTCTTTTTTTAAACAAAGTGATCAGTCATTGAAAATAAGATTCAGTTCTGTTTGTACAGTGTCAAGTCACACCATRTGTCATCACAGGGCACTGTACAAAAAGTGATCAATCTGAGGAAGCCAGCAGATTGCATTGAATCATCACTTCGTCACAGTTTCCCATCCGGAGCAGCACATTTGCAAAAGTGGAAAGAAAAAACTCCCTTTAACCGGAAGAAACTTGCAGAACCAGGCTCAGAACGAGCGGCCATCTGCTTCGACTACCTGAGTTAGAGAGAGCAGGAAACAGACACAGGATGACTGATTCTGGTGCAATTTATGGATGGATGGATGGATGGATGGATGGATGGATGGATGGATGGATGGATGGATGGGAAAAATACATCATTGATAGAAATAATTACAAAGACTAACATGTAGGGAAGAGTGACTAAAGTAAGCAGCAAAATTAAGAAATGTGGTCCGCTTGTTTTCCAACAATCTTATGTCTATAGCAGCAGAGCTAATAAATAGCTCAGTGAMTAACATCACTGAAGTGCAGGTGAGCAGATAATCTATTAACCTCTGGTCATGTTGTTTGAATCTTGTAGCACCACACATCTTCAGCTACAGAATAGAAGTCCAGTTGCTTCGTCTTTTTTCTTTAAGCTCTACATGTCCTGAAARCACCTGAGCATCCAGCCAGAGGCAGGTTCAGATATAAACGCTGAACAAAACAAGCATGTCAGATAATTATTTAATCGGCTCTGAACACCAGGATTGACATTTTAACGTGTAGCATCCATATTTAGCCAATTCTGTAAACACAGTGCTAAATGTGACATCATGTTTTTTTTTCTGTGCACTGAAATCCTGTGTTGTTGGCAGCCCCTCCCCTTCATGCCGAGTCTACCAGCATAGGAGAAACAGGCTCGGAGAGGAAAAGAGAGCGCCTTTTTTTCCAAACAACATAACGTGCCATGTTTACGCTTGTCAAGCATATATTCCAGTACCGTTAGGGGTGAAGCTTATCGCTCCAGTCAAATTTAATTCCTAGCTCAGGAAACCCAAGCCAACCTTAACTATAGAGTTTATCAAAAAGAACATTCTTAAGTCTAGCCTTAAAAGCAAACTGTTTTCAATACAGTCTAACTTCTACTTACATGGTAAATGACCTGCACTAAGTGCTATACAACAAGGAGGACGAACCCTTACTTCCTGTCACCCCAAACATAAAAGTAGACTGCAAAAGTTTTCACAATTATTGTTGGATTGTTGAAGCTGGTGGTATTTTTGCATTTAATGTGTATATTTTTAAAGTGAATTCATACTTCGAAGCCAGTTGTTTTGTTTGTACATAAGTTAAATATATATATATAAAAAATACATTTGCTTATTTTCAGGGTCACTGTTGAACATGCTCGCTCCAGAAGAGGAGGAAGAGGAGGAGGAGGAGGAGGCGGCGGTGGCGGTGGCGGTGGCCCTAGTCCTGGAATGGGACGTTTTGGAGGTGGTTATCGACGTAACAATGCCAGGTATGTGAGACTGGATTTGATATTTTGTTTCTGATTTTGATTTTTTTTCTCCCTCTTGTAAAACCGTTTTTTTTTTTAAATTTTTCCAGAATTCTTTACTAATAAATTTTTGAACATTTCTAAAGACATTCAAAAATAGTTTTATGATAGTTTGTTTGTAAATTTATTGCTTTCATAGTTTTTAATGGACCGGAATCAATAAAGATCAATGAAAAAAAAATTCTAACGAATATCGCATCTAATGATTAAGCCGACTCAGAGTTACATGGCATTTTTGTGCTCCTGTGTAGATATGGCCCTCCTGTGCGAACTGACTACAGACTTATTGTGGAGAACCTCTCTTCACGGATCAGCTGGCAGGTAAGAACTCACAAAATGATCTGAAAACCCAATTCAATGTAAAGATGGTCTTCTCGAGATATATTTCCTGAATGAAACAGTTTTGAATTCAGTAGTAGCATTTTTTAAGTACGTTAAAAATAAACTACTCATTATTAGTATTTGGCCAGTTAGAATAGAAATTTCCCCATGTTTTTTTTTATTATTATATTTATTTTTTACTTGAGCACCTTTCCCCCACCAAAAGAACATTTTGTTGCTGATGAGCAATTTATCTAATTTTTTAAAACATTTTTTGTAATAAAACAGCTCCTCTGATATAGTTTCAGCTGTATCAGAGGTAAAATAAACACCCTCCACTAGGGTGTTAGAAATGTGTAGCGCCCTCTGCTGGTTGTTTTTTCTGAATAGTGTCCATTTGGTGCCTCTCCTTACACGCAGTTGCTGCTGGTCTAAAGTCTTGGCTGGGCCCCGTAGCGGGTGAAAGTGGTCTAGCGCGGGATACGGTAGCCTTAGGAGGGCCGTAGCCACAGTCTGGAGGTTCTGTGGTCTGGCATCCTCTACACCTGTAACCCCCCTCAAATCAACTGTCCCCTACAGTCTCCCATTTGGGTCTTTTTCTGTGGCCGATGGAGCTGGGGCTTTGTTGAGTCGGGCACACATCACACCCCTACTTTCTCTGGTGGTTCCTTACTTGTGGAGGCCGGATGCTGAGTCAAGGCTGAGAGCGTTTCTCGAGAGCGTTGCTCAAGGGCTTTACACTGCATTGGTTCCCATTTGGTATTTGGACAAGTGGCTCTATGCTAATGTCTTCCTGGGTTTTGAATGGTAAGTAGCATAAAACTCGTGATTGGGTCTATTTAGGGTCGGGTGATAGCGGGGTGGAGAGTTACGATCTCAAAAGGGAATCATGTAAACAGTTGACTTATTTTTGAGCCAAAGTAAATGACTTTAACAAAGTAGATCCAGATTAAATTTTTTAAGTAAAACTAAGAAAATACTTTCTTATCCTAAATATGTAAGTTTGTAAAGTTTCTGAATTTGTCTCCATGTTTAATTGTGGAGTTTTCTTTTGATAAGGTACTCATTGCAAAGTAATGAAGGCCAACAAAAATTTGTAAAATAATAGTCTGTAATATCTTTCTCAGATTTATTGTTAATGTGCCCTTAAAGTAAAAATTTGTGACTTGATGCCAACTTTATGCACAAAATATCAGTTATTCAAAGTAGATGAGCAATACCAGAGGTGCCAACCATTACGATCTCACCGTAATCATTACGATATTGAGACCCGCTCTGAACCATTACGGCGTACTAGACATCTATTACGATCTGGTCTTGTGCCGAGCTTCATTCATTCASCTGAGCTCCTGGGAACCCCTCCCGCTGCATTTTTCCACCTACGCAGTTCGGTTTGGCTCCACCCACTCAGCACCCGTTTTCGGTCTTTCCGCTGTGACTCCCGGCCACTCTCTGCCCACTTTTTCAGACCTTCTCTCGAGGTAGTACTGAGGCCGGCACCGTTATGGGTGCCGGCCTCAGTACTACCCTTATGGGTATGATTATTATTTACAGACTAAAAACCCTGCTACAGCAAACCGTTGCTTATAAATGCAGTAAAACAAAACCAAAATGATTTTCTAATAAATGAAATTACAGTTACTGCACACTTTATGCCTAGGAGTATGAGTAAATATGTTGATTTTTTTTCTTTATGGATTTARCTCAATGAAAAACAAACAGCAATGCCAATAGTATCGTTATTTCACAAAATAAAAGTCAGACAATATATACAGCAGCTACTTTTAAAAGACATTACCACTCCGAACCAGCCCGAACTGAGCCGAGAGGAGCCGAACTCAGTAATGGAAAAGACTATTCATCAGTTATTTTTTTTAAAAGACAAATATAGTTTCCTCGTTATTCAGTTTAAATATTGTGACAAGAATTCGCTGTGACTACAAATTCATCTTCAGTGTGAATGAATAAATGAGGCCCAATAATAGGATAGATGTATGTACTGTTTAGCAAAGTTATGTTCATAAAGCATCCATTTTATAAACTCTGTTTTATCACTTGCTACTTATAATCTCTCCATCTAGAAATAAGTAGGTTTGTATGAATACTTTGAAGTTTAAAGATATAAATTCCATATATTTTTTGTTTTGCCCACAAACTGCCAAAAACGAACGTACGACGCAAATGCTCCGAGACAATCATCATGATTTGGGATGACTCCAGGTTGGCACCTCTGCAATACTGACATGCATGTAGGAGCTGATTTGTGATAAATCTAAGAATTTTACGCTCAGATTTGTTGAGTTTTGCAGAGAAAAAGATAAGTAGGATAACAAACTGATCTTACTGATGTGGACATTTTGCAAAAACCAAATGAAGTAGAATGACGAGGTCTGTTTTTTAAGTGCTCTACTTTTGTGCTATTTTCCCCAAATTTCTTTCATTCATTACTTAAAACAATTTCATAAAAACTTTTGTCTGGTTCTGCCATAGTTGTGTGTACTGATGCCTGTGTATTATATGCGTTGTTTGTTTATTTAGAGCCAGCACTAACAGAGATTATGGCAACAGGATGAGTGGTTTGTACCTAGCATTATCAACAAATTGCTGTACTACTGCTAGCACCCCTTCCAAACCCCCGCCATTAATAACAGTATACCCCTCCGCTTCTACCCTCACCCCCACCCACTGCATAGTGACCGTATCACTGGGCGTAGCAAGTTTTCTTGGGGAAACCTTGTAGACAGATTTATGCAAATCAGTCATGTGACTTAAGATTTGCGTGGTTTTCAGCAGACGAATGCTTCATTTGCAGTGCTGAGTGTCAGAATGAAAGAATAAGATTTTTTTTTTGACTTCATATTTGCATTGAGTACCTTTTTAAAAAAAAAAAAAAAGATAAATGATTTATTCTTATATCAGTACCAAACAGAGGGAAAAGGCAAGACTGGCCGATTGTAAAAAGTATTTTGTGTGGCTCATTTGTTTACATGACTTTTACTGAAAGTGGGATCATAGCAAAAGTGAAAAGAGGTCAGAATTACATAAGCCATGTTTCTATTTGTGGTGKTTTTTTTTTTCTTGCCTGCTTTTTTCTTTCTCTCCAGGTTCAGAAAAGCTCACAGTGACCCTTGGTGTTTCATTCTATTACTAAGTTTGCATTATGCTTTTGAAATAGGACCTGAAAGACCTGATGAGGAAAGCAGGTGAAGTGACCTTTGTGGACGCACACCGACCCACTCAAAATGAAGGGTGAGGGTTTTTTTTCTTCCTTTTTTTAAAACTAATTTTTTCTTTTTTTCCCCTCTTATTTAATGTAAAGAACTAATGAGTGTTTGTTAATGAATTCAGGGTGGTTGAGTTTGCTTCGCGCCATGACCTGAAGAATGCCATCTCCAAGCTTAATGGTACAGAAGTGAATGGACGCAGGCTGAAGCTCTATGAGGACAGTAAGAGGTAAGTTGAGTTTTTGTCAGTGGGTTTAAAGTCTACTTACAGCAAAAACCATTTGGAAAAGATATAGAAGTAACTATTTATTCCCACTGGTCTGAATTTTTGGATTACAGACTTATATGTATATTTAGATTCTAAATAAATTAAACTGGAAAAATATCGAAGATATTTTGAAGAGGCTTCTTTGTGCACAGTTCCATTAATGTGAATCAGGTAGGGGGAAATGTAGACTGTAAAACGAATTTAAGCTTTGTTTATACTTCAATAGGATGTGCGACAGTGGTTTGTTGATTGCGCAATGTCAGCGTCTTTTTCCTGACCGAGTATAAACGAGCTGCAGACGCGGTGGCCATAAATGATCATAAATTTTCCCTCTGCTCATATAAAGTATTTAAACTACAATAACGATGGCTGGATAGTGTTTTTTCCCCACTCAAAATCAGTATTAAGAGTGAAGTAGAGCCGTTTTTTTGGAGGCGGACAGAAAAAAAGACGCGACCAGCTGTGTGCTCACCCTCCTTATTGRGACCTGGATCAAACCAGCTGAGCTCTTTTTAAAACTGGCTTCAGACGAAAAATATATAATTTTTAACAAAATAACAYGCAGAAGGAAGAGCTGCTTTGGGTTCTCCTGTTCTGGTCCAGCTCGGTCCAACTCTCAGTGCCGCCACAGCTGAGGAGCGCCGGCCCGCTGCGGTGCTCCATGAATAAACACCTACGAAGTTCAGACCAATCACCCACTCCGAGCCGCATCCTCCGCATCTTGGAGCGCTGACTGGGGGCAATGTATAGGACAGTTATCACCGGGGGATCGCTGCGGGAGGGCAGACGGAAGTTGCGCAACTTTTTGTCACTCAGCGGGGGGTAAAAGACGTGCAACAAGAAGTATAAACCAGCCTTAAGTCTTTCTCAGTGCTGCATAGGTATCTTTATAGTCTTCAAGCTAGAGTGGACCGGTCTGGAAGCTGGAGGGGGGTGGGGTGGGAAGCACCTCGTTTGGWTTTAAAGAGACCACCTCAAAACGAGTTGGTTTGAGACACAGATCAGAAAAGGGGTGAAGGAGGGGCTTGTGGAGTTACATTAACCCTCTAAGGTCTGGGGTCTAAATGGCCATTTTGGCTAATTTTTAATTTACCCTGATATTTTCATCTTAAAACCTATTTACCTTGCCTTGTTTGGTATCATTTTTTTCAGCCCAMCCAAAATGTTGACTACACTCCGTTCTCCTGTCTCCAAAACACACACGTTCTCCACAAGCATATAGACAAACTTTTTTTATTGGTTGCTTTAGAAATGGGGTTCATTTCAGGAAATCAGAAAAATGGGTGTCATGTTGAACTCAAGCACTTCCTGGTCACCAAACGTTCACTGAATGCGCAGCAAATTCCATAAGAAAATACTCACAAAATTATGGCGAAAATGATTTATCATAAATCTGGTTCTATTTTTAAGTAACTAAACAAAAACAATATAAAAACACTTTTTATATAGTTTGAAGTCTGTGCTGTCCAACCTAGATGAATTGAGCACTCAAGTGTGCTGTAATTTTTGTTGCATTAGCCCTTAAATGTGTCATGTTTGATGTCTGCTCTGGAACAGGTTTGGACCTCAGAGGGTTAAAGAGGAATTCAGACCAAAGCATTGCAGTTCCACTTTGTATAAACCCAACTGAATTATTTAATGAAACTGATGTAAAAAAGAGGATTTAAAAGCATATGTCTCTTTTTAATATGGTAAAACGGTGTATTGCTGGTGGTTGCAGCAATACTTCTCTCTTTTAGATAAGTTAAGAACTGTTTAGATCAAAGCGGCTTTTTGCAACTGCTGTTTACATGCAGGCGTTCCCTTTTGTTGCCACAATAGATCAGTCTGAGGGGTCCTTTTCTGTGACATTTGTGACCATATCTTAATTGTTTATTGGCATCATTTTTATTTAGTGTCAGTAATGTTATCCTTACAATAATGTATCTTTATCACCTTTATCACAAAATTTTGATTTCAGAGGCACTGTAAAACAAATGGATCACTGTACAAACGTTGAATTAAATTTACAGATGTTCTGATGTAAAAATAGTAAAAAGAACAACAACATTCTTAAAATTATACTCTGGAAAATGATGGGATTTCCTAATGAAAAAATGTAGGGGTGTCCCGATACCAGTTTTTTCAAGACTGAGTACAAGTACGAGTACTTCAGTTTAGGTACTTACCGATACCAAGTAGCGGGGTTCATGTGGATTATTATTGTTATTATAAAATATATTACTAAGCACAGTAACAGCC